GCTCCTGGGGGCTGGTGGGGTCAAAATGAGCAAAAAATGGCCCGTTTTTTGCTCATTTCTCCCCTCCCCAGCCCCCAGGAGCACAGCCATTTTGATGAAGGGGCAGGGTTTTGGGAGGCAAAAAATGCTGTATTCAGTGTATAAGATAAGATTTTCAGCCTCTTTTTTGAAGGAAAAAGGTGCGTCTTATACTCCAAAAAATACAGTACCTTAGTGTCACTGTCATTACTATACTCAGGCTATCTAAGAACAAGCCTAGGAAGTCTATTTTAATCAAAACCGCAAATCTTGAGCTGGCAACATTTTCAAGCCAAGAGCTGTGGTTCAAAGTGCAGTACTACAAGTGTGCAAACTCTCCCACCATTATTCATTGTGCACTAAAAAGGGCTACTATGGATGCAAGTCTAGGGTAGTTTCCCCCCCTCCCCTCCCCTAAATGCAAACCTTGCATCAGATGGTTAATTTCCTGCTAGAGCATAATTCTGAACAGGATTATTGGGAAGAAGAAAAGAAGAAAGCAGGATATTTTTTCAGGGCTGCTAGATGGCAACGATCTAGGTTTCTACCTCTCAGTGATCATGGAGAGCAAAGAATTTGTAAGGCTGTTAAAGTACGGTCATTGAGTGCAGCAGACAATAATAAACATAAAGCTAGATATAGCTTGAACTTAAACTTCCTTGAGGAGTTCAAGCTAGGTATCTCAGGAAAAGGACGTTTAGGAGCAATTGTGGTTTTGGTCCAGATCAACTTCCAATTTCACAGGCCAATCAAAACACTTTGATGCAATGTGTAGTAGCTAAAAAAATACCCCCAGAGTTCTTTTTCAGAAACAAGAATGATCATTTAATTACTTTTATCTGCTTCTATAGTCTATGGATTTCCCTGAATTGTAAATGTATGGGCAACGAGCTGTTCACAGAAATAGGAATTGACTTTTTCTTCAGGCATGTCCACATATTTGTGAATGAATCCTGCAAAACAACGTTGTTTTTGACCAGAACACATTGTGCCATAAGTGAATAGATGTCAGGTGAACAGATCGTCCAGAAATGTGTCATAAACAAACAGTTCTTTGAAAAGGGAATTACTCTTTGATGGTCCAAGATATCTAAATGAAATGTTTCTGAACTATACTGAATAAACAATATGGTTGTGGATTTAGAAAGGGGCACTGAATCTTTTGAATGCAATCCCCTGCTCAGTGCAAAAATCTTAATTAAAGCATTCCAACAGATGACCATCTGATCTGCCTAACACAACTAATGAAGGGGAGCTCTCTCTGAGTAATTGATTCATTCTCATTAAATTGTGTTTTTAAACATTCATGGGAACCTGCTTTCCTAAAAATTCAATCAAGTTACTCTGTGTCTTGCATATTAGGATGAGAGAGAACACATTTCTCTGAAATTCTTTCAGTTATCTAAAAAAATCTGTTTCTCCTTTTAACCATCTTTTCTCAAGGCAAATACCCACTTTAATCTTTCTTCGTTGCACTTAGTTTCTAATCCCGATCATCCTCATTGGTCTTCACTGAACCTATTCTGATTTCACTGATACCTTCTTAAAATAGTGCCTAAAACTTGACTCAGGATTCAAGGGGGGGGTCATATTAAAACAATGATTAGGTCATGTAATTGGACATTATATTCATACTGATGAAACCTATATTAGGTTTTCAATTTTTGCATCCACATCCCACTGCTAGATTAAACTCAGTTTTCACTCAGTGTTCATTTCATTTCTGTTTCATAAGTAAAGAACTATTTACTTGTCCTTTCAGATTATTTCTTTAGATTATCCAGATTATTTTTGAATTTTATTTCTGTCCTCTGAGGCAAGGGTTTCCAATCTTGGCAACTTTAAAACATGTGGACTTCATACTGGCTGGGGAATTCTAGGAGTTAAACTCCACAAGTCTTAAAGTTGCCATGTTCTAGGGCAAGG